GAGAATTTTGAGGATGAGGGGCCAGGGATACGACAATGAATCTTATATATTCGTAAAACATATTGGATTGCAAAAACGAATTTTGGGCAATTATCCACAAGCTTTGTTTATGCCATGCAACGCGCATACATTAAATTTGGCGATTAATGATGCAGTTAAAGTTTTGTTTCCAACGGTGGTTTTTTTAAGGACTATATCAGCAATATATAATTTCTTCAGTGGTTCGCCATTTAGATGGCAAGTTTTAAAGAAAAATGTAAAATCTTTGACATTGAAACAGGTTAGTGAAACTTGGTGTGAAGCAAGAATTAAAGCGATTAGACCACTGCGACATGAATTAGGTGAAATTTACGATAGCCTTAGAGAAATAGCTGAAGAATTTTCAACGCCAACAGTTCGACATGAGGCTGCATGTTCTGCAATGATAATTAAATCTTATAAATTTATTTGTTCAATAATACCCAGTGGGCACGGACGTAAAGAAGACGTCTTTTAAACGTCTTATTCACGTTTTAGACGTCTTTTGATCGCTTTGGACTTCTTTTGAACGTTCAAAAAATATCTTTTTTAGGTCTGGTGCCCACTGTGTAATATGGTACGAAATCTTGAAAAAATGTAGATATCATTAGTAAAATGGTGCAGAAAGTTTCTTGAAATATCAGTTCATGTGCTGAATCAATTTTTGAAGTTTTGAATTTTTTCAAAAGGAAATGATAAATGTTTCGAAAATTATTTGAATATTTCTAATGAAATTTGTAAAGCAGTTGAAACAGAACCGGATTTTCCTGCTAATTAATGCACGTCGCCGACGTCACCAAAAATAATTTAGCTATGAAGGAAAAGAAGATATTAAATTTACTCGAAAAGAAAGTTTTTTAAATTAATTTTTATTATGTAATACTAGATACAGCTATTTCATCTCTTACCACCCGTTTTGAAACTTTGTCAAATTTCGAACAATGTTTTGGATTTTTCTACAAATTTATTGATATGGAAGATGAAGAAATAAAAATAAGTTGTTTCGAACTTCAATTTAAAAATAGTGATTACTGTGATATCAATGGCATGGAATTGTATAAAGCAGGGCTGTAGAGTCGGAGTCGGAGTTGCGGAGTTGCGACATTTTTAGCGGAATCGGAGTCGCTAAACAAAATCGCGACTCCGACTCCAATAGTAAAACTTCTCGGTAATGCACGTGCATGTACAAAACATTCAATTAACCTTATGTTCATACTAAACCTCAAAGAACGTTTCATAAATTTGTCAAAAAAAAATTTTTTAACTTATCGCGTTATATTTTTTAAAGAATTTAAAGAATTTTTCAAAAATTTTGCTTTGGAGTTGGAATCGGAGTCGGCGTTGGAGTCGGAGTCGGAGTTGTACTCAAAAAATTTTAATAACTGGAGTCGGAGTTTGAGTCGTTACATTTTTTTTTTTTACGACTCCACACCCCTGCTATAAAGAAATAATTTTTTTGAAAGTAACCGTAAAAGATAAAAAGTAGCCCTAAGGACTCCTAAATTTTTTATTTAAATACAACTTGGAGACGCCTTTTACAAATCGCGAGGTTAGAATTATTTTGTTCTATCTCGTTTCGAGATAAAACGGTTTAAAAAAAAAAACTTTAGGAGACGGCATATAAAAAGATTTTTATTACTATGTTTTCTTGATTTTAACTTAGGTTTTAATATAGTAGAAAAACATTATTTTGAGGTACATTACACAATTAATAACTCATTTTTTTCAAAAAGTGGAGATAGAACAAAATAATTCTAACCTTGCGAAATGTCGCCACGAGTTTAAAACTTTTTCTAAAAATTCCAGTTTCTGTTGCTTCAGGAGAGCAAAGTTTCTCAAAACTAAAAATAATTAAAAATTACCTGAGGACATCCATGACACAAGAAAGTCTCAGTAATGTTTCAATTATTGCAATACAAAGTGACATTGCTGATTCGTTAAATATTTAAGAAGCGATTGAACAACTTGCTTCCGCAAAATTGCGTCGGGTTTATTTTGCATTTATACTTTAATATGTAAATGTTAATGTTACATGTAATTTTGTAAATATAAATTAAAAACTAGATTTTGATTTTTTTTTCTTTGATATTTGTTACCTAGAAGGGACGCAGCCCGCCCCTATATATATATATATATATATATATATATATATATATATATATATATATATATATATATATATATATATATATATATATATATATATATATATATATATATATATATATATATATGTGCGGCCGTGGCGCAGTGGTGACAGTGCTTGCTTTATAGGCAGGAGATCCAGGTTCAAAACGAGCTCTTGACATATTTTCGCGTCACGGTAAGGAAGGAGGCGTGAACTTCCTGGTTAAATGCACTTCCGCGGTGCTCTGTGACAAAACCGTTAGGTCTTCTTGGGGCACCTAAATAACAATATATATATATATATATATATATATATATATATATATATATATATATATATATATATATATATATATATATATATATATATATATATATATATATATATATATATATATATATATATATATATATATATATATGTATATATATATATATATATATATATATATATATATATATATATATATATATATATATATATATATATATATATATATATATATATATATATATATATATATAGTTAACTTCCAGATATGGAAAAAAAAAAAACATCTATATTTTATTCTTTCCAGCGGGCATTTGTTCTTAAAAGTTACGTTCTAAATGTATTTTAAAAGTCTTTTAAACATCTTCTGAATATTCTTACGTAGAGAACGTTTAAAAGACATTTATAACGTAACTTTGAAAATCAAATGCCCGTAGGTTTATGTCAAATAAGGTTTTTTTGCAAAAAATTGCAATGACTTAAGTTTGGGAATAAAAAACTCAAAATTTACCTACATCTGCCGCGAAAGTGAGAGCGTACTGAGCGTGAGAATGTGAGAATAAATTTTTTTTTTTTCACTTCTCTAATCTAAATTTATATTTATTGATAAATTTAAAACTTAATGCAAAAATCTCTTAGCCTTAAAAAATCATGACCATATTATGTTTGAACTCCCTTAAATATGAGGGGTTTATAAATTTTATAAGGTTATAATTTTTGAACGCTATAAGATTTTTGTATGAAGTTTAAGATTTATCGATGAATATAAATTTAGTTAAGAATAATAAAAAAAATTGATATGTGTGTACTACGTTTTAGTTGAATATTAACTTAACATTTTTTTAAAGCATTATTGACTTTTATATGTTTGTCTATAGTTAATTTTTTACCTATTTTTTTTTTGTGTTTGAAAGTTAATTTAAAGTCTATGTTGTTGTTCTTTATTATTATTATACTTTTTTGTTGATGTTGTTACTATTATAAAATTTAATTTCAAAATATAAAGGATGATAAAAAAAGATGATAAATATGAAAAAATATAAGGTAAAATGGGGTATTAAAGTACATTTACATATCATTAGAAAACATTTTTTTCCATAATTTTTTAGTTGTGACAAAAACAAAGCTGCTATATTTCTAAATGTTTACTAATTAAATTATTGAAATGACCTGATAAAGAATGTAATAAGCGTGTAGTAGATTAATTTTGTTGTTGGTGTGCAGCCATTAATGTTACCCCTGTATATGGAGTAACAAAGACAAATTGTATACTTTATGCCGTAAAAATGTCACTACATTTCAAATGGTAAGGTTATCACTAAAATTTTGATAAACAAAATAGCGAAAACATTTTAAACATATGAGCAACAGTAAATTATTAGCATAATTACTTCATAGCATCAGCTATTGCTTTTACTGGATTTCTATCTAATCTTTTTTTATTTGATATTTTAATTGATTTTTGAAAAAACGAGCAAATTGAGTCTTTTGATGTTTTTACTAGTATTTTTACTTTTTTCAACATGTGACAATTCTTTGTTTTTTTTTGGTTAATTGTTGTTGTTGTTTTTAATTAATTATTATAGATTTGCTCTTCTGGCTTTGTTTCATTTTCTTTAATTGTATACAAAGTTCATTAAACGTACGACGTTCCGGCATTTTTCTTTTGGTTCTTTTTATTTATTTATTTTCACTTTTTACGCAACTTACGTGGTTGGGTCAAAAATTTAAGTACATTCAGAAAAGTTGCCCTATCTACAATTTCGCATCTTGTTGTATAGTAAATTTTTTATATAGTTCTTCGATGATGTTTTGATCCTTTTTAGTGTCTAGAAAATATTGAAACGCTGTTAAATATTCCTTTTATACTTTTATAGGTAAACAAAGTTGTCTTTGTTAACAACAGTCATGTCTACAACAATTTTTGATATGTATGAGTTGTGTCCGTTAACTACTGCAAAATTTGGTCCTTCTGATTGAAAAGGTTTTTCAAAAAAAACTTTTTAAAACTATTTGATGAGTTGGGTTGATTCCATCCTAAAAGAAAACAGTTGTTAAGTGGTTTGTCCGGACCGCCATTTCAATTTTGTACTGTTAAGGTAAAGATCTTTACAAAAGGTTTATGGTGATAAAGGTTGACCAGTTAATAAACACCATATTTGCAGTGTAAACATTGTTTTAGTTAGACCGTTTTATGTGGATTCTTCAACCCCTATTTATAGAGATCATTCTTGCTTGTCTATGTCAGTTTGAGACTCTGTTTCATCCACATTATAAACATTTTATGGATTATTATCTATGAGTTATCTCAATAACTATTATATTCTCAAAAAACTATCAAGCACATTAATATTGAATTATGGGATAGTTATACTTGTTCATTCAACACCGATCTCTGTAGCACAAGATGTCTGTAGCACCTGTTAATAAAATTTAAGTATAAACAACCGGTGACCTGTAAAAACCTTCAACCTATACAACATATCAATGTTACCCACCTCTCAATCTTATTACCATTACCTTAAGACTAAAATGTAAAAATTTATGTCTATTTTTATAAGAAAAATAAATATCAATATTACAGATAAAACTGACGTTTTAAACCACACCGATTACTGGGGAAGTCTTCAACAGATAATGTCTGGAAAAGTAATTGCTGATTTTGTTGCTGAAGATTATGGTCCTATAGATCCTGTCTTTGGTGTCCTTCTTAATCCAACAACAGGTAAACATTTTTTCAAAACAAGAAAATTTGATGTGGACTCATGTTTCATTAAATGATAGCCGCTGTCATTATTTTGTCGAGATTAAACTTCCCTAAGTATTATAAATATCCATAACCATAGAAGGCCAATATTTATGTTATCCCATAAATTGGCTATGGCTATCACATGGGGCGTTCATCAAATTTTCTTATTATCATGTAAAAATATTATTTAAAATTTAAAAGCTTTTTAAGAAAAAAAGTTTATTTAACTTATTAAGTTCATACAGGAAATGAAAAACAGCTGTGGTATTTTAAACTATAATATTTTTATATCTTTAATGTAAAAAGATGTAAATAACAACAGCAAAACAACATTACAAAGTTGTTTTGAAGTAAAGTATTAAATCCAATTGAAGACCTCAGTGGAAAAACCAGCGTTGTCACATTTTAAAAGTTTTGAGAAAATATTTATTGATCATTTATATAAAGCAACAAAAAAAAGGAATTTCTAATAAAAATTATATAAATTTTTTTTATAATTAAACTTTAAATAAATTAAACAAAATATTGGTTTTTTTTCTCATCTTTAATTTTCTTTGCCTAATATAAAAACTTTTATTAATGATCAATAAATCCTTTCTCAAAACTTTTTAAATGTGACAACGCCGGTTTTTCCACTGAGGTCTTCAATTACTGGCTAAAAAACTGAATAAATATCTCGGCTGATTTGACAAAACTATTTAAATACATTAAAATGCAACTTGCTCAGAAATACTAGATTACCTCTCTCATCAAGTTAGTTTCAATCAGAGTTGGTTTTAAGTGGAACTGCAAAGCACAACAATGCCTATATAATTTGTAAATATCTGTAGCTAAAAATGAAATTTTTTGTTTAAAAAAGTTAAAAAATATTTATTGGTTTATGGCATCTATCTATTGTTTACACAATACATTTGTTGTTTTATCGTTAATGTGTCATGTCTAGGACATATCTGAAGTTATTTCCATTTGTCTTAAGGCATGCAACAAGGATCAAATCTAATTAATTTAAATAGTCTAAACCCAAATCATCTGCTTTTCAAAGTCCTACTTATTCTAGACAACAGGAAATGGGTAATAAAGTTCAAAAACATGGCAAAAACCTTTTTATCAACTAAACACTGAAAAAAACAAGTTTCTTATTTCTTATTATTATCTCCAAGTTTATTATATCTGGTCAAAGTTTTGTGACAAACAACACAATTCAAATTAACTTCTCCACACCTCATAATTATATGAAGCATCTTAAACCATTGTGTTCTTGAGAACAACAAAACCTTGTTTAAGTAAATTTTTCAACGTCTTTTATTTCTGAGGCTAATACCAAAATGCTTATACTACAGCAGGATAATTAGCAACCTTGGCAACCTTAAACAAGATAATATTCAATATGAGTAGACTATTTTTTAAAGTTAGTACTACTACTACTTAATCTTGATTAAAGAATAAATAACCTTTGTCTTGTTCAAGTTTATTCTCATTCCTTTTTCTTCCGTTTTATCTTTCTAATGCTAAAACTTTAGTATAATCATTTTTTTTGTCTTTGCAATCAACCATAATTTATTTGCATTGAATAACTTTTATGGTAAATCAACACTTTAAAATAACCTCTCTTAATATTCTTTTAAAAGTTTATAAAAGATCAACAAAAGCTATACATAGATTATTTTTTATGTCTACAATATACACTTAAAGTTATTTAGTTTAATTTTATTTTAGATTATTCGCTTCTCTTATATATCTTCTTGTTTCTTCTTTTTTTTACCTGGATCTGACTTAAGTTCTTGTTTTCTTTGTTTGTCTTTTGTTAACTATTCTGTTAAACTTCTTTATTCAACCAGGTTTTCTCGTGTTCCAGTAAACTTGAGGAGTATTTTGAATGTTTCAGAAATTTAGATTTAAATTTAAATTTAAATAATGATAGACTCCTTTTTTAGATTTATTGTTTTAGCTACATCAATATTTTCATGGTTTTAGATTCTACCATTTACTAAACTCAAGTAAATTGGAGAGAAGATTCTTAACTTAATCATCATAAATGATTTCTTGACCTAATAGTTGATTCCTTGACCACAATTAATTCTTAACTTTTGAATGGAACGTAATGCGTTTTTTTTCATAATGAATGTAAACCATAGTTGTTTTGTACAAAAGTTTGAAATAAAAACGTCATTAAGACATCAAATTTGATGTCTTAATGACATTTTTATTTCAAACTTTTGTACAAAACAACTATGGTTTACATTTGTTTTTATACATATCGTTTGCAAACGGCATTCAAGCATTAGATTGTCAAACAATGCATATATTTGTTTTTGAGATTTAAATATTAGCATGAATAGTTTGAACATTTCTGAAAGTTGCTTTTTTTGAATTATAAGAAATTATATCCGTACGGCTGTTATAGAAAGAAATATGTGTGAAAAACTAATTAATAAGAAATTTTACATTTGATATTGTTAAAAAAGGTTCTTGATTGAATTGGCGTAAGTTAAAGCATCTAATTTTTTTTTTTTTTTTTTTTTTTTGTTTCATATATACCTTTCAATGGGAAAAAACCTTTTAATTTTCAACTAAACTCATCATTAACAAATTAAAAAAATTAACTTGGGGCAATTTTTCTCAGACCTTGAATGACAATATCAAATCAAAATGCAGTGGAAAAAATATTTTTTATAGTTACCAATATCTTAAACATATGTCTTCAAGTTAAATATAATTCTTTTTTTTATCAATACCCAGCCAGTAAGTTTTATTGGACCCCAAATGGGGCCCAAGTGGGCAGCTTTATAGGACCCAAATGGGTTGCCCACATCCCGGCGAAGGAAAACTGTTGCTGGGCGTGAGTTGGAGCCCAATTGGGTAGCCCATATGGGCTGCATATTTGGGACCCACATGGGTCCCACATATGCAGCCCACTTTTTTATTTATTTAAACTTTTTATATTATTTTGAATATTTATTTATTTTTAGTTTAAATTTAATTTAAATTTAATATGTAGTCATAAATATGTCACGTGAGTCTAGCTTTATAAAAGTAAAACAGGAAATCAAACATAAAAAGATAGACAATAGGTCAACAATAATAAACATTTATTAAAATGCCACAGTATTTAAATAATAAATTATTAAAAGTAATAGTCTTACATATAATATTCTTATATATAATAGTCTTATATATAATAGTAATTGTCTTATATAAATAAGTAAATTCAAACCTTTTTTGGTATTGTAGTTTATCCTCCTCCGGCTAGTTGCCATATAGAGGCTACATTACCGAGGCCCACAATGACAAGTTCGGCTCCCCAAGGAGCGTCATAACCTGCTCTACGGACTAAGAGTAAAGTGATTTTGGGAAGAACGAAGATATGTTAGAGTGAAAGATAGAAGTAGTCGAGTTAGAAAGATAGCATATAGAAAACGGACAGGATTGCACACGATATTATAAGATGCAACATGTTATTATACACATATTAGCTTAAGCTAGTTATTGTATGTCTTAATTTAAACCTTTTTATTGGTATTGTTGTTTATCCTCCTCCGGCTAATTGCCATATAGAGGCCACATTACCAAGGCCCTCAAAGACAGGTTCGGCTCCCCAAGGAGCGTCATAACCCGCTCTACGGACCAAGAGTGAAGTGAGTTTATGAAGAACGAAGATATGTTAGAGTGAAAGACAGAAGTAGTCGTGTTAGAAAGACAGCATAGAGAAAGCAAACAGGATTGCACTCGATGTTAGGAGGAGCAATAACGGTAAATATTAAAGTTTTAGAATATATCCGTTCAAACCTTTTTATTTATTAAGTTTAGTTAAGACTTCAATGTTAAATAGACCTCTTCAAGACCTGTCATTTTATATACATTTTTGCTTGTGGGTTTAAAAAAACTCAAAATAGTGTAGGGTAGGGTGGCGTAATGTGGGTCTACGGGGTAATCTGGGTCTAACTCATATTTATCTAATTCATATATTATGCGAACCTCTCTTACGTCAGCTTGGAGCTTTAAATATTTATAAACTTAATATTCATCAAGTAATGTTAATTATGTTTAAAGCAAAACTTGGGTTTTCTCCAGTAACTTTTCAATCCTACTTTAATGAAATCTCTCATAAATATCCAACCAAATTTTCAGTGAATAACTTTGTGGTTCCGATAAACCTTCTTAAGTTAAGTTCGTACCAAATTCAATATCGGGGACCTTTAGTTTGGAAAAAATTTCTTCCAATCTTTAGTAAAAAACAAAACTTCGTTCTAAACTGCACTTTGCAAAGTTTTAAGGATGATTCAAAACGGCATTTACTGAAAATGGAATTTGATATATTAGATTTCAAATACCTTTTTTGAAAACAATTTAAAGGTTTAAACTAAATCACTTAAAAATAAATTAAATCTTTATCACTTTCTTTGGCTTTTATTAAAATGGTTTCAAACCATTGGAATAAAAGATAACTATTTTTGATGATATTAAATAATCAGCAATATATGTAAGCAATAAATGTTTACATTTATTGCTTACATATATTGCTTTTTTTAATTAAACAACGCATTTTTTTTTTTTTTTTTTTTTTGTGTTTTTATAACTTTCGTGATTTTCTGTCGTTTTTACTTTTTTATTTTATTTAAAATTATTCTGCTGGAAGATTGTTAGCAACAAATTATTTTATTGCTGAAGTTTTTGATTTGTTTTTGTTTTTGTATTTATACTGTCTTTTTATCTTTTATCATTTATTGTGCATGTAAATTTTTGTGTGACGGGGCTCGATGATAAGACAACCTGTCTTCTTCTTGCTCCGGCCAGTATTTTCTTTTATTGTAATATCTTTTTTGTAATATTTATCAACGGCAAAATAAATAAATAATATAAATATATATATATATATATATATATATATATATATATATATATATATATATATATATATATATATATATATATATATATATATATATATATATATATATATATATATATATATATATATATATATATATATATCTGTTATATTGATAATGGCTTGAAATATAAAGTTGTAATTTTTACCACATTGTTATAATATATTAGGCTTACTAATTTTAAAATATAACCTAGCTATGTTGTTAGAAACAGCACTTTTTTAGCTAAAATGCTAGATACATAATCAAAGTCATTTTTTTCTCCGTTTTTAAACTTCACACAAAATATATTCAACTAAGGCAAAAGCGTATAAAAAATGTTATTTTGAAAGTTAAATTACTATATTTTAAGGATAGTATACCTTTAAGACACTAACGCACATGATTTGTTTAAAATTTGAAATATAATCAGGTGGGGTAAAGTGGGTCTATGTGAGTAAAACGTTATGATATGTAATTATATTATCCAAGTTGTTGTTAGTAACATTATAAACCTATTAGTTTCATCAGACCAAACTATTTTCGTGTTAATAATTCTTTAGAACTATTAAATACTTATGTTTGAAGTTTATATCTTTGAAATTTAAATTAAGAAACATGTGTATTTATTTGTATGAAACAATATGTTCACCTAGGTCAAATAAAATATTATATAAGACCTATTTAGTGTTAAATTTTTTTTTTTTGGTGATATGTTATGATTAATGCTAATTTATTACTTTAAAAATTTAACAAATTTTTCTTAAACTTTACTTTAAAAAGTATTTTAAAAATGCCAAGATGTTACAATATAAAAATAAAACCCAAATTCAATGCTGATAGTTTGAAAAGAGCAATGATGTTAGTATGTGAAGAAAAAAAGACTACTTATCATGCTGCTAAAGAATATTCTGTTCCTAAAGAAACATTGAGACAAAGAATGAAACAACAAGAATTTAATGCCAACAAACGTGAAGGTCTAAAAAGTGTGCTGAGTGATAATGATGAAACTATGATTGTAACTGCAGCTCAGTATTGTAAAAGATATGGTCTTCCATTAGATTCTCTTGACATTTGTAATTTAGTTGCTCAATTTTGCACAGCTATGAGGATGAAAATTCCTTTTAAAAAAGGAATTCATGGTGAAAATTTGATTTCTTTTAGGAAGCGTCATGTTGATAAATTTCGATTACGTAAATCTGAAACACTTACATTTTCAAGAGCTAAAAGTTTAACACATGAAGTTGTAGACAATTTTTTTACTATTTTATCTAATGTAATCCATAATAATAACATTGTACCAAGTAGTATATACAACCTTGATGAGACTGGGCTCTCCACAAATCACTTAACAAAGAAAGTATTTGTACATTCAAAAAGCAAAGATACTTATGAATTGGCTGCTTCTTCTGGTAAAGCTATCTATTCTGTGCTGTTCTGTGTGTCGGCAGATGGAAGATATCTTCCACCATTTGTTTTTTTTTTAAGGGAGAAGGCTATCTGTATTCTAAATGGATAGAAAATGGACCACCAGGATGTGCTTTTGGTGCAACAGTAAGTGGATGGATGCAAGACTTTCTATTTGAAAACTGGTATTTTACTTGAATTTTATAATTTTTTTTTTTTTTTTTCACTTTTTGTTGCTGCCTTTGTTGTTCTTGAAGATGGTACAAATGATTCAATAGAATTAAATACATTCTAAGTTAAAGTTTGTTGCACTTTATACCATTTAATGACCAAGATCAATAACCAATACTCTTGCTTTATGATGGTCATGGCAGTCATTTAACATCTGGTACCATAAAAGCGGCCATGGACAACCATATCCAAATCGTTTGTCTTCCACCAAATTGCTCACACGCATTACAACCATTAGATGTGGCTGTCTTCAGACTATTAAAAAATTAGTGGAGAAAAATTTTAAAGCGGTTTTCAAGAGAAACACAACACAAAAATATTGATAAGACAGCTTTTACAGGATTATTGAAACAACTGTGTCAGAGACTCTCTCCAGTAAATGCTATAGCAGGGTTTTGCTTTACAGATATCTCACCATTAGGTAATAAAAAGATAGAATGAAGAATAACAGGTATTGACTTTCTCAGTCAATCACCTGAACGTTATAGCCCTAAATCTCCAAGATTACAAACACAAAGATCGGCTATGCGAGAAGCTTTAAGGTCAATCATATGTCCTAATGTATCTGTAGAAGCAGCAGCAATAATAGAACAACAAAAACAAAAAAGGAAGAGAGTACAACCAAAATGCGGAGAACTCTTTACAAATGAGAAAGTTAAACAAAGATTACTTGAGGAACAAAAAGTTAGAGAGGAAAAAAACCAAGTTAAAAAAAAATGTACAAAAAAAATATTACCTCTACTGAAGTAGTAAAGAAATACCCAAAAAGATCGAAGAAGTGCTCAAAATAGCATAAATATTACCATAAAAGTGTAGTGATCAAAAAAATAGTTATTTTTTACAAAAACACATTATTAAAACATTATTATTTCTGTTTTTAATCACCATTTTTTTATTTTTATTTCTCTGAGTTTTTAATTTTTATTGTTGTGCTGTGTATGTATGCACTTTCTTTTTAAATAAAAATATTTTAAGACTACTTTTTAATTTAAAACCTTGTATGTATGCTATAATAAAAATGCTGGCATATAGAGTGTATGTCAGATTTTTCATAAGCAGCAGTATTTTAAACCGGAACTGCCAACATTTTATGTAGACCCACATTACCCCACAACGTGGGGTAATGTAGGTCTGTTAAAACTCTTTTACTACCACTAATACATGACATTGATATACTATTACGGAATCTTTAAAATGATTTGACTTTAAATAAAAAGAAGATTTTTCAAAAAAGAGTTTATTTGAATTTAGTTTAAAATTGGAGAAAAGCTTTGAGACGTAATTACATTTGAGAAAAGTAAAGGGGTTTTCATAAAGTAAGTTCGGTATTGTGGTTTATACTCTTCCAGCTAATTGCTTAGCGGAGTACCTCGTACCATCGCGCGCAGTATCGGATGGCATTTAAATTTAGAAAATAATATAGAGTTTAACGTATTTTTAAATTCATATATGGGCCCTAAATGAGCCTCATATGGACTAGCTCTTGAATACAAAGTTTTAACTTTTTTAACTATATATATGAGCTCAAATTGGGCCCTATGTGGGCTAGCCCTTGAATACAAAATTTTATATTCAAGTGCTAGGCCACATGGGGCCCATTTTGTACCCATACATAAAGCCCACATAGAGCCAACTTTTTCATATGGGGAAACCCATATGGGCCCCAATAGGACATATTTTCTGGGTATTATCTAATTAAAAGAGTAACTAAGAACAATTAATTCTCGTCTATTGGTGGTAGAAGTTCCATTATAATTTAGTTTATAGTTCTAAGCAATTTGTTCTATTTGTTTTTACTTTATAGATTCCTTGCAAGTTTTATGGATTTTGACTCACTGTGAGCTGGCTTGACTAAAGCTCTATTTTTGCTTCTTAGAAAAATAGCAATTCACATCTAAGCTTTGGGTTTGAATTTTGGTTGTGTTTTTATTTTAAGCAAAGGGTCACTCATGTAGAAACTGTAAAAAAAACTGTAAAAAAATGTAGAGTAGTACAATTTTAAATAAAGATTTTCAATCAAATAATGTTCAATTTTTAAGGAATTAAAATCTATTGGCAACTTAAAAGAAAATGTTTTGCAAAACCCCCAATACTTTGGGTAACAAATCCACTCTGTGGTTCAAAATATTTTAATAGAGTTTTGATGCGTCTATCTTACTCCTGACATAGTTTTGACTGATTTATGAGTATGTTACTTCTCTTTTTTAGTATTTAAGCTTCATATATTATGGTTGAGAGCTGGTTCTAATCCTGATTTTATAAATTGTAACAATTGATACATTTTAATTTTCTTTTCTATTTTGTTTTAAGGATCAGCTTTTTACGATTAATAAACCTATTTGTTTTTTTATTTTTTGAATTTTTCCAAGAAGAAACTTTTAGGAAAGTTTTAGAATCTAAACAAGACTAATACTTTAAATATTTGGATATTGATATTTATTTGAAGTCGTGAAGATGTTTTTA